GCCGGAGCTGCCCCGGGCCTGGCAGCCGCTCGCACCGCCCGTCCCCTTGGGAGACCGGGGCTTTGGGAATAATCCTCTCTTTCTGTAGGATGGCATAGTCCTCGGAGCAGATACGCGAGCAACCGAAGGAATGGTTGTTGCTGACAAGAACTGTTCAAAAATACACTTCATTTCTCCTAATATCTAGTAAGTATTAAAATTGTTTATCGTCTAATAGTACTGGTAATAGTATTGGGATTTCTACCGTGCCCTTTGTTGACAGCAAATATTAAGGTGTACTTTAAGATGATAATTTATTAGCAAGGGGAGTTTTGGTGTTTCATTTATGCTTGAACAGGCTATTCTCATGCTCTGAAAATATTGACCATATGAGAACTTGATTTCCTCAAGTCTTCAATGAGAAAACTTCTACTTGTTGGATAAAGTATTGAGCTATTTCTTTCCGCTGTCCTCCCTACCTCTTCCTAACTTGCTCATGATATTTTTCAGTTGTTGCGGTGCTGGAACAGCTGCGGATACTGATATGACAACTCAGCTGATTTCTTCCAACCTGGAGCTCCATTCGTTATCCACTGGACGACTTCCAAGAGTTGTCACAGCTAATCGAATGCTAAAGCAAATGCTCTTCAGGTAACTGAATGGGTTTCTTGTTTATTAACAATGCTGTTAAAACCACTTAAGCTCCTGTGAAGGAGCATCCTTCCTCAGCCAACTTAACCTTCATAACAAGACTTTAGGAAAGATTTAGCAATTGCTCTTTGCTTCATAGATTTTTTGAACTGAGATGGACGAGAAATCAAGTCTATGGTGTTTTAGAGAATTAATGCTACAGTTGTACAGTGTTGCTGGTGTTTACACTGCAAAAATAGAAGGCCAATAGATTAATAAACTGTTAATCACACCCATGAAAACTTGTGTATCTTTGTGGCAAGATGGCTGGACCAGCAATAATCTTGTAATATTTGAGCTTGTAAAATTGAGACCTCCATTAATAGAGTCACTGCCTCAAAATGTATTTTATTTTAAAAAGAATAAAGTATTTAACCATTTGAAGTCTACAGCTGTTAACATAGAACTCTGCTGGTGGAATAGTGAGGTAAATGAGTAAAATGGTTGGAAGCTGTATTGCAGTTCTTAAGATTTTATTTGATTGCTTGACTAATGGCAGACCATTATTGCATGGCAGTTGAACTTCCTAACTAGTAGCATAACCCTGAACATGCCCTTAGATTGAGGGTGTATTCTTCAAACTTTTAAGTGTTCCAATACTGTTCAGTACTGTCTTTTGCAGAAGTGAAAAATCTTGTTGAAAGAGAAGGAAAGAATGAAATGAGTGTGTTCAAGTAAAGATATTGTTCAAGCTATTGGAAAGTCTCCAGGAAGGTGAAATAAAGCAATGAGGAAAAAAAAAATGCTTTGTGCAACCAAGTGACCTAGATAAATTACAATAATTCAGCTCAGTTGCTTAATGCTGTATTGATGGGCAGGTTGCTTTTTTTTTTTTTAAGTGTTTCACAGAACAATAAATTAAAAAGTTAAAGCAGCCCAGAACATCTCTTAGGGGAAATGAAGGAATACATTTTCTTCAAAGTCTCTAAATAAAAACTTAATTGCAAATATAGGAATTTCATTCTTGAAAACTAACCTGAATTCTCTCCCTGTTAGCACAAAGGTATCATCCGGCCTGTTTGTTTGTTCTGCTTGATGCTGACACATACCACGTTTCAGTAAATTTCTTAATTTCAACTGTTGGTTGCAGAGAGTAAAAGTAGTCTTTCTATTACAGAGACATAACTGGTGTAATCATGGAAAAATTCTCAAACGCATACGCTGTGTTAAAAAGAACCCCAGCTTTATTGTGGACTTTCACACTCATGTATTAACATTGCTCATAGGTATCAAGGCTACATTGGTGCTGCCCTGGTTTTGGGGGGAGTAGATGTCACAGGACCTCACCTTTACAGCATATATCCCCACGGATCAACTGACAAACTGCCTTACGTTACCATGGGTAAGTGATATTCCCTCAGTATTGTAACACAGTTGCCTGGTAAAAAGTGTGAACATTTGAAGTTATTATTTAAAATGTTTTTACTTAAATCCCATCGCTTGCTGGGAGCTGCACAGACCTCAGACTTCAAAGATAAAGTTGTACCCATATTTGTAAGGCATGTGCGCTGTTTTATTTCTAACATTTGAAAAATGTGGGCTATTATACTACCTAATCTAAGCTGCCAAAAAATTGGTGTTAGGAAAGTTGCTGTGTGTGTTCCCCAGCATACCTTAAAGCAAGAGAATTGTGGATTCCCAAAAACTTGCTCGGGGGGGGGAATCCTTAGAAACTTGATCTGCAGATAGCTCTAGCTCATGGTTCATTTAAAGTCTCACTTGGGGAATTGCGTTCTGCCTGAAATCTTTCTGTAGTTTCATTAGGAAAAAAAATGTGCCTTGCTTCTCCTTTGGGACTGTTGTGTTTCTGCATTTCTTGCTAAGCAGCAGCTGTATTTTACTCAAGAAGGTGCTTTATTTGTGGTGAAGCAACACCCGGGTTACTTGCTGCTTATAATAATTGGTCTTAACCCCTCTATGGAGCTTCTCAGTAAAGAAGTTTAATTCTGTCTATTGTTGGGGTCAACTTGACATCAGTAGCCCACCATCAGGTTATTCAGTGTTAGTACCCCAACTTTTCCATCTACATAACATTTTCTGTAAGAACAGTAACTTGAGCTATATGTATATGCAGTTCTGTATAGACATCTCATTCGGTTTTGAATTAGTGAGTGTGGTAATACTGAAAGCTGAAACCACAGGTTTTTTGCATGCTTTTTTGGCATTTAGGAGCTCCCCATCAAGACCAGTTACAAAAACAATGTTTGGGATATATTGTAAAATACAATCTTGGCAAATACGTTCTTGCTTGCTGTTTCAACTATAAAATATGAGGTAACTTGGAAGTAAGTACTCTGTGGTAGCAGAATGCAAATTATAGGCAGCTTTCCTGGAGCATCTTGTCCTTCTCACTTAAAAAGCAGAAACATTGCTCTGTTACTTCCCAGTTCTACAGAAGAAGGTGAAGAATGCCTACAGGAGAGAATTAAACTTTTGAACTCCTCAGTGCTGCTTTGCAGTAGCAATAATTTCAAGTTGTGAAATAGCTCTTGAGCATATACCCGTTGATCTGTGATCTGGCTAAGCAACCCCATTAGAGGCCTCTTATGAGTATATTCAGGAAGACACTGTATTACCGAATACAAAATCTTTGTTCATCTCTAATCTTGATTTGTGAATTTGTCATTTCTCCTATGTCTTCTAACTAGTCTTTGTCCATGTCCTCTAGATAAAATTGTTTCTTTAAACATCTTGTTCTGTCTCTTAATTATCAAGGGATGCTTGGAGAGCCCCTGTGGTAAGAATTCTGAAGTGAAAGCTATAATAAGCTTTGCAACTTGCAGGAGTTAGTGATGACCATCGTCCTTGTTTGGTTTTGGTTGGGTTTGGGTTTTTTGAGAATGGAAATGACATGCATTGTTGAAGGGAAGGACACACACATCACAAAGTATTACAGAACTTGGCCAGTCTTTGGCAAAGGGAGTATTTTCAATAGTAGCGTCGAGAAAATAAAGTGTGTCAGACTAGTAAATCGGATTCAGCCTATGTCTGAGGCAGTTTTTATGCCCACTCTGTGATGGGAATATATAATCCTAATTTTAGTTAGTCTTTTTCTGTTCATGGTTGGCATCTCTAGATAAAACACCTATTTACTATATTCTTGGAAATGCTAAAGGTTTTTCTTTTTCTTCTGGATCTCTGCACTACTGAAACGGTGCAGCTGTTAAACTGAATTACCTGGTTAACTGTGTAACGAGAACTGTGATTAACTTGCAGAAATTCTGCAGAGGTGGTATTAGACCAATAGATGGTGCCATTACCTTAGGAACTGGCAAATTCCTTGGCAAATAAAGTCCATGTAACAGTCACGTGATGTCATTTTTTTAGCCTTTAATATTAAAAAAGTAACTGTCTGATTCTTACAATTGCCTTCTACCCAATAATGTAGTTAACAGTAAAACTATATACTGATAGCTGCTAGTAGTTGATTGCCTGAGTAAAGTCACACAGTTTATGTGCACGTTTACTTCTGTGTCTGTTTTAAAAGCTTTAAAATGTGGCATTTCCGAAAATCAAAATACCATAGTAGCAGAATAAGCTCAAACAGGTAGGAAGTAGAATATCAATGAATTAGGTTCATTGTAGCTTAAAGTTTGATTTGCTGTCAGCTGTCCCAGGTCTGTGTCTGGTGATTGTTACTTTTGTCCATGCTGTCAAACAAAGCCCTTCTCAGTGTAAGTGTCCATTACCTTTCTGCACTCGGTACACTGATACTTTCTCCAGTGACTAGGACATATTTTAGTGAAAAGATTTGCTTATGTGTATAAATGAAAGATAGAACTGAGGCAGCAGAAAAGGTATCAAAGGTCAAATTGGAGATTGTAGTGGGAATTTTATTTTGATCATATTTAGACTAATCTATTATTTGTTGGGTTTTTTCCCAGATGTTCTAAGGACAGTTTATTAAATCGGGCTAGATATTTTTGGCCAGTTAATTTCTGGAAACTCAGTATTTAATAGGAAGGGTTGTTGAGGCATCGGGGTGGGTTTTTTTGTTTTAACGTGCTGGAGTGTGTTTTTATTTAGCTGGAGTGTGTTAATGGATGGACAGAGTGGTGTCCTCCCTTGCAAGGGAGATTTAAAAGATACTCAGTGCTTACTCAGGAGTGAAAACATCAAATTAAACTGTTTATGCTGACAAAGGACAAAATTGGATTTCAGCAAACGATGCAAGATTGTCTGATTGCTTGGCTTGTCTAGGAAAGCTTCTGGCCAAGACTTATAATGAAATGCATGCATAAAATTAAAGCACTTGAAGTCTCTAGTTCAGCTTTCGGAAACAGTAAGTATGTTCCAGTCGTCTCTAGTGGCTAAAGCTTGTCCCCTGGTACCAGTGTTGCTTCATATTCATAAATCAGCTCTTCGTGCATTGGCAATGTCGTCCTGCAGAGCAAGCACTACCACTGCTGAGACTCAGCCCCTCAGCCAGGAACCAGGGTGAAAAATGATCCCGATCGATGGGGCTGTGGAGATCACCAAATTTTTACCTAGAATGAACAGCAAATTGAATAACAATGAGTGCGTGTGAATAAATGCCCTGTCAGAGAGCCCTGACACTGATGGATTAGGAAGTGCTAAATGTTACTCTCTCAAGGCTCTGTACATCTTCCAGTGTGGCAGGCTGAGGTAGCAAACAGGTCCTTGGGTGATGGAAAATGGACTGTGCTTAGCAATAAGGCGTTGTTTTCGGTGAATGTTTTGCTAAAAAGATCCACTTCATCTGTTTTAGAAAAGCTTCTGCACTTGCAAAACATGGTGGAAATTATTGTCGGCTGGATTTTTTCCTATGTATCAATAATCATCTTTCACTTGAAATCAATACTGAAGTGGTACAACTCCTCAAGTAAAGACCAAATAGGATTTTTAAAGTGAGTTTATTACCCTTGAGTCCAGAAAATTTTTTTAATAAATTAGTTGTGAAAACTTAGGAAATGACCAATGTTTCTTAAAGAATTAAAAAAATAAAATCTCTTAGGATCTCATAACTTCCCTGGTTCATGCTCATTATCAGACTGAAAAGCATTTGCCTCAGAATACAGCTCTGCATCTCAGTTTCTTTAGTTCTCTATGTTTGGCAAGCAATATTTTTATATATTTAGATGCTAGATTAATACTTCTGAATATTTGTTTCTAAAATGCAGCTTACTGAAAACATATGCAAAACAAATTCTTTGGAGTTGACAATGGCATTTTTTTCTTGATGACTGTGTTTCCAAGGTTGTTGAAGTATAACCATTCATAGCAGTTAGTGGTTCTTAAAAACCTAGCTGAAAGGTGGGTTCCCCCCCAAAATGTTATATAATACAAATACATGATGACTTTACCAATTACGCTTTTTTAACTGTCCTTATTGCTCATACACAGAACAGTTGGAAACTTCCAACATTAAAAAAAACCCAAAACCCAAGCCCTCTAACAAAGAAAAGTTCCTATTTCTGCATTGGTTGTCCATTGTCAAGATGTCCAACTAAAGTTACCTGTCCAAGATAAATATCTGGTTTGGTATTACTTTGAATCTGAGCTCAGTTAAAGATGCTATTTAATGATGCATTATCTCGCAGCTTTCCTGAATGTTTTAATAGATTTGAGGTTGGACTGCTGCACACTAGCAATGTTGAATCCTAACTGGTAGTGACTTAAATTAGTTGTTATGTGTATGATGTGGGAACATCCATCCCTAATTAATGGATGGTGTTTTGCAATGTTTGGATTTTATCTTTCTCCAGGCATTATGTTTGGGAATTGTTAAGCTTGTTTCTACATAGAGGCAAAGCAGGCTTGTTAAAAATGAATTATTGGTGGGCACTGCATACATGGACAAGAGAACAGCTGTTTCCCCACATACAAACAAGTTCTCCATAGACCCTTAATATCTAAGTTTTCTGTGCTTTTATAGGTACTGCAATAAGAAAACCATACTTCCAATGTTTACTTACGTTCAGAGATTTTATTGCCAGCTCTCCTGTTACAATGCATAGCTTTCACAAGTCGGTTGAACTACTTAGAACATTGTGGGGTTGTTTGGATTGTACGTGGAATTTGACAAGCTTAGGGAAGGAGGTGTAATTGGATACTGAAGTTTGCAACTGTGCTCGCGAGCAAGTGTCCACTGCTGGTTTTCTGTGTTTCTGCATGGATGGTCAAGTCAGTCAGTCCACCAGTGGTGCAAATAAGGTGATTGAGGGGTTTTTCTTAGTTAAAGTGCTACAGGTGAATATATGCACATCATTAGTACGTTTCAAAACAGTTCATATTGCTGTTGTCAAACAGCAGATGATTTGCTTTGATGCAGGAACTCGGAAGTGTACATCTATTTGTGTTTCTGAAAGCATGGTGTTTACATCTGGTGCTAGTAAGAGTAAAGAATTTTCATTGTGCTATTTAGGATTACAAAAATCTGTTCTTTCAGAGAATGCTTGGCTGTGCTGTAAGACTCTTGTTAAGGCACTTTTTTTAATGCAAGCTTATAAAACTCATGTTTAGGATTTATAAGCAGTAGAGAAAAACCCCTGAGTTTGTTAAGCTTTTCCAGCTTTACTTCCTGTTCTGTTAGAACCTCCTTGGGATTGTGGCTTTTAGATGTAATTATCTATGTGTAGGTTTAAATAAATTATGACTTTCAACAACCCTTTGAAAACTTTACATTATAGGACAGAATGCATTTATTTATTTAAAGTTGGTATTAAATTTGGCATTTATTTGCATCTTGGTAATATAGCAAATAATTAACAATACAACGCTTTTATGTATAAGGATTTCATGTAATGTAACATAAGGTGTGTCGTTTCCCCCCCCCCTTCCCCCCTGCCTTTTTCCCTTTTCTTCTTTATAAGTCTACTGGGTTCTTGCCTGTAGGTTCCTTTGGGAACTTTTTTTTAAAAAGGAGCTGGCGGAATGAATCCGGTCAGAACAATGTATGAAATACCTCAATATTTGTGTTATTGATAAACTTTATTTGTCAGTAGAAGTTTTAAGAAATTAAGACTACTTTTTCTTAGCTCAGTAGCTTTAATGTAGTAATATGTCAGATATTACCTTTTATACTTTCATTCTTGCACCTCTTTTTGTCTTTATGTTCTCAAAGAACCCTTATCCAAGGGTAAGATTGTTTCCTGGTTTTGAGGCTTCCATTCTGTTTATGGTAGGCCTTCATTTGAGTGTAGTAAGAACATGGTCTTAGTTTGAGACCATATCAAATTTTTTTTTTTCCCCCTCATTAGAAATCTTCTTGTGTCATTCCACAAGAAGAATTATTTTATGGTTCAAGTCCTGTATTTGTTTTGGAACACACCTTATTTTGACCTTGTTTGAAGGATCAGTAAAATTCCTTTTATTTGTGATTTGTTCTGTGATACCAGCTGTTTGTATCAGCAGTTCATTTCTGCTATTAGTTGCTTAAAAATCTTCTTTATTCCCAGTTTCAGTGTTTAAAAAATGGAGTCATGTATTGCTCCAAGGTGTAAATGAATAGTCATTGCCTGTAATACAAGTACACACTTAGAGTGTCCTACTGCTTTTAGATGTGATGTATTTGGTACTGTAAAGGTAATGATCCTCAACCACAGCAATATTCTGTAACAGGAATATCTGTCATATTCATTGGGATTACCATGTTCATTGATTTGTGTCTGTAAATCTGCTGTTTCTACCCTTTAAATTTGATCTATAATTGGACCTCCTTAAATGGTTCAGATAAGGTAGTCTGTATTTTCTCAACAGTGTCACTGTCAGCTTCTCCTTTTTCATTATACATTCAGCAGACTTGATAAAATCAGCAGGACACCTCATTTGAAACTGTTTAATCGCTGCCTTTTTCTTTCACTAAACCATTGAGGTGGTCAAGCGATATACACAAATCATTTTAAATAGAAAATATGGCTTTCTCTGTGACCCAGCTAAACAGATAGCAGTATGCAAAACAAGTTAAGAAGTAATAACTGCCAAAAAATCTTCTAATTGGAGTAAAAAATGGCAGGTAACTTTATTCACTCCCCAAAAGTAGCGCTTTCTGAAATATGGTTAGGGCCACAGACAGACAAGATAGCTTCCTGAAGACTCAGTCTTTCTGAACAAAGCAAGTTTACAGTTTCAAATAGTATCATACTGCTTTTTTTATTAATTTATGGAAAGCATGTTTATAACACCTGCAGTTACAGTGCTTTGGGTAGAGATGGCTTCTGTTCCATTGCTACACTTGCACTGCATCCTTTCAGAGAAGTAATGTTAAACTCGTGTTTTCCTATCTGTCATTTTGTCTATTCAGCTGTTATTGTTCAATGTAAAAATAATGGCACAGAGTAAATGCATAATAAACTGTTTTAAAGTGGATATGGGAAATAACCTGATGGCAGCAGCCAGCCACCCTATTACCATTGCTAGTTTACTCATCCCCATGCGTAGAGGTGACTGTGCCAGGGCAGCTCGTTAAAGCAATCTATTCATTCTGAGTGTCTTGGTATTAAGTGACATACCCTCTAATGTGGCCAGGCACAAAAGTGGGACAGGAGAAACGGAGGAGCAGCAATTGCGTACTGTGGCATTTGGTTAACTCTTTTTTTCTAAACTCATTTTCATATCTTGGTGTTCGAAATAGTAGAAAGAAAAAGGCTGTCAGAATGGGGACCATGACAAGTCTGTGTACACTAGCTATAAATTTAGGATTAAATTAGGTGCTGGACTGAAAGAGGGTAGACACTTTGTAAGTGTATAGTAAGCCAAGGTAGACTTCAGTTTAGTTTGTGCTGCTGATACTTGTTACCTTGTTCTTAAAAAAAACCCCAACCAAACAAACAAAAAAACCCAAAAAACCAACCAAAACAAACCCCCCAGAAACCCCTGTATCTATATACACTGCCTAAATAAATGTCCTAATTTTGTTACCATAGGTTCTGGATCATTAGCAGCTATGGCCATATTCGAAGATAAATACAAACTGGATATGGAGGTAAGAAAATCTTATTTTAAAGCTCAGTGTTTCTTCCCTCAATAATTCTCATGATTGTAAGAATTTAAGAGGTTTGAAGCTTTAAAAATAGTTAAATTGGGTCTAGTTTCCCTTCACTTAAAATGTACTAATGTTGGCTTACTGCAAATGAGCGAAATCAATTTAAAGAAATAAAGCTTCTTGCAAATTTATGTATGGAAAAACTTGTGTGATTTGAATGTGGGTGAAAGCTTTAAAAACATACAACTTGCTGATCGTAGTTGACTTCAGGAATTCAACAGCCCTTGCATGGTCAATATTGCTGTTTTTCCCTCAGTAGTCAGTCCTCTCTCTCTCTCTCAATCTTGAAAAGAGAATGCATGATGGTAAAAGCAATAAAAAAATGTTCAAGTAGTATATGAAACCAGTTAGATTTCTGGTTGATAGGGTATGTTCAGAACTAGTAACTGCACTTTTATTTTTAATACCTACTTAAAAGCTGATTACAGAAGATTTATGAGGTTGTGGGTGGTTTGTGTTTTGCTGATCTTGATAAAAATGGAAAAATGTTTGGTTGTTCATGTTAGAGAATCTTTCAGGAGAGCTAAAAGCTGGAGTGTCATGATTGAGATCAGTTATTTTCATGAACGTCTGCAGTACATTATTTTTGTATTATCTATAGTATTTCCTTATATTTAGTTACACCATGCTCAGTGCCTGCTAAACTAAGCACTTATCTGCACATAGACTATTGGTGAAGATAAAACCCAAACAATTAAAGGGCTTTCTGTGACCATATTTTGTAAAATGCCTCAGATATGTCAAGCCCTCTTTTAAACCACACTAATCTCTTCAGACTCTGTGAATGCTCCTTCTTATTCCAATTGATTAATAATTTCACAGTAAAGAAAAAAACTGAGAATTGAACACAAAATTGAAAATTGAACCCATTAAAAATTACTTGTAACACTTAACAGTTGCAATCATGTCAGCCTAAAATGCAGATACAACAAATCTTACAGCTATTTCCTATCACTGGATAACTGAAAAGGAAAAAGTTGATTTACTTCAGAAAAGGTCTTCAGATGTTCCTCATCTTTGTACTGCAAGTGCTGTGGGTCATTTCCTCCCCTTCAAATGCTGGCATGACTGCAGTAGTTATTTTTCAGGTGATGATCCTACAAGTCCACTGAGTTCCTCTCTAAAATCAATTAATTAAAGTGATATGTCATATCCTGTTACATCTCCTAAAGTAATGTGATGTGTAATACCAGTTGATTAAAAAAAAAAAAAGAACCCCTAAAAACTTGTTTTGAGAAGCTTTCCAGTAGTTAAACTGCTTAAGAGGTAGTAATAAGCAGTTTTCCAATTGTTCCTGGATCTGGCTGCTTTTCTGTCAGTATGTATCAAATAGTTGTAGGTGTGCAAAATTACGAAAATGCAGTAAGATCAGGATTCCTGTGTTGTTGCAATATTTTGGGCAATATCTGAAGGCACTGGACTTCTGGCCTCTAGTATATTTATAAATGCTATCGGAAACACTGGAATATTTTTAATAGGCACTGAGGTTTCTTCTGCAAGTAGCATTACACTAGATGACTGATGGAAAGAACCACTAGATAGAGGTAGATTTTCTACTTCTTTTTTTCCCCTCTCTCCTCATGCTGCTGTAAGAATGACAGAGTCTCTTTTTCCAGTCTCTTCTTGTGTGACTGTGCACTTGGCATGTGTGCTATTCATACCGAAAACATGGGCTACAAATCCTTGGAATCAACAGCTACAGCATAATAGTCCGCTTTCAAAGATACAAATGTCAAAGAGCTGTGCTGTGAAACTAAAAATTTCATCATATTCTCAGCTAGTTTTCAAGCTTGTATTTTAAGTCATTCTTTGTGTAAGAGCAACCAAAAAAGGCACCAAAAATTGGTAAATCTCCAACTTTTTCTATTTAGAAAGGTCATCCTAATTAAATTTTCTTCATATACAACCATAAATGGCAGCAGATATTCACTGTTATAATAAGCATGTAGAAATGCAGCCTACCAATTTGTTGAAATAGATATTAAGATCTTTGAGACTTGCATGCACCTTAACCCTTCCTTTGTTTTTACTAGATGCTCTGTTATCTAGTAACAATGTAGTAATCATATTAACTAAACCAGCAAAGTTTCAGGTGATAAAGCTCAACTGTACTCTTAAACATTTTGTATTCTGTTATGGCTGCCAGCTTAAAATACTGACCTTTTAAGTCAGATGTGATTTTTTTTTTTTTTTCCTCCAGTAAAGTAATGAAATAACAAATGATATTTCTATTGAAATTAAAACAAATTAAATCTGAAGTACACTATATATATTTTACACAAAACTTGCTATGAAATGGCAATGATGATAAAATTCCTGGAGGTTAATTTAATAAAATGGGTAGAGGATTAATATTTTTCTGTCAAGATCAATACTGCTTTATTTTGCACCAATTGTCAGAATATCTTGCTAGGGCTACTGGAGGGTAGTGGTGTGCTTCATGACCATCACATCACAGAAAAATGATTCAAAGGCAAACTGTCCTGCACCCTCTGGTATCGACTTGCAAATTAGCATCTGGAATGTAATTAAACGAGCTTAATGAAAGTAGCAGCTGAATACTACTGGAAAAGACAATCAGCTTTTTTGCCTCTGATATATATTCTGTACTATTGAAGCTGATCACCAAACGCATCGTGTGAGCACAGTTAAAAAAAATTAGCATTTATTTGAAGAATAGGAACTGTTTTTCATTCTGTTATGCTTTTGGCATGCACTGGTGTCCCATGAGAGCCATGCCACAGCAGATAGTGCACAATATTTATAAATCCATGACAGGCAATAATAGCAACTTGAAAAATTCTTTTGCTAGAATTTCAAGTTGAGAGCTGCCAAAAGCTGAGAGGATCAAATCTGCAGTGGCAGCTGCTGTGCCCTACAGTTAGAATCGTAGACTTTGAAGATGCTCAACTTAAAAAAAAAAATAATAAAATAAAAAGACGACTGCAGGCTTAGCCAATTTTTGCAGGTTTCTAGAGCCCTGGCTCTCTGCCTTTTGAAGATGAGTTGCTGAAGCTTCTACCACTGCCTGAGGCATGCTAACACCAGCAGGATGTGGTTTTTTCCATAGACTTAGTGTGTCTTCAGATTTAAGTAGCACATGCTTTATCAATGCCAACTGTGATGGTCCTTTCCCTGGTTGCAATGCCGGGAGATGATCTTTACCCAACATCCTTCAGAGAAACTGTTAAGATAGATGGTGACGTACACGAGTGCCACTTCTGCAGTCTGATTTATGGAGGCATGTTTCATTATGAAGCAAGTGCTGGCCTCTAGAGGAACCATTATAGATTGCTGAAGATGTGAACACTTTCAGCCCTGAAGGCCTGTAGATGCTTCAAAAATGTAATGCCAAGCACCTAACTACTGTGGAACAATATTAATCTGTCATGTGGGCAGCTATAGATCTACTTTAAAAAACATAACTGGAAGAACAGCACATCTAATAGAGTGTTTTGAGCTTAGATCTTTCATTGCAGCCAATTTTTCTTTCAATAGAGTAGCCACATGGTTTTTAAACCTTACAGGCAGATTTTGCAAATGCATTCATGCCTTCTGGTGTTAAACAATAGTAAGGAAATACTCTGAGTCAGTGGATATGGAAATCATCATGATCTGGGAAAAAAGTATATACAGTATTAAATGCTGGAATTCCGGGTTTATCTATGCTGTGGTTGTTGAATTCCTAGGGAGATTGGGGGCATTATTATATATTTTATTCTGGTACTTGACTTCTGTTGTTTGAAAAGTAAAAGCTTTTTGTCTGTAGAAGAATTACTTGATGTACTGCAAGGCTATGTTGTAGCCTTCTGACAAGAGCTTCATGTTTAAGCAAGGAAATGGGGTGCTTGTAACTTAATTTCTTTTCTGTATTTCATCAAAACAGCCAGGTTTAATAAAAAGGGGATCCAAAAGGAAGAAAATCAGTAGAAGCCACAGAAAGCAGAACTATTGCAGGGAAAGGGAAGTAAATCTTTGTGTAATGAGTTCAGGGGCATGGAGTAGGTGGGGAAAAAAAAATTGAAGGAGGTAGTCTGGTAGATATTTAATAACTATTTCTAAAATAGATCACCCCAAAAATGTGAGATTATATTTACAGTGATTTATTATACCACTTTTTTAGTGTGGCAGGAAATAAAGTGGTACTGAATGAAAATAAAAAGACTCTGGAGGGGTAAGAACAGATTAAAAATAAGAGGGGGCTGTTCTGATGATATTCCACTTGGAGCAGAGGCACTTACCCTCCTACAGCAGCTGTGCTGTACAAAAAACTGCATCTTGCTCTCCTGCCAGAGATTTGCACTCCTTCACCTGTTGGCCAGGTCTGCTTTTGTGATCATTCTGCAGTGATTGCTTTGCTGACATGTTTGGTTTTGACAAACATGGGTTAGGGAGCAATCTGATGAGCAATTCAGCTGGCAGATTTGGGTAATCCTCTGTAAAAGGAGAAATGATGGGCAGACAGGAGTATTTGGAGGTAGTAACCTTTTTCAGTTAATAGTTGCAACTGTCAAAGTAGGAGGGAAGAGGACTGAAAGTTGCAAAATGCGGAGACGCAGGCTCTTCTGGTCCATAGTTTTGTTTCTGGCTTTGCTGCTGATTTTTTGAGCAGCCCCATATCCCCAGAGTGAAGAAGTTGAGGCATAAAGAATGCCTTCCTCCGGATGCTCGATGTGCGCTGAAGGTCTTTGCTGTATCAAAGTGGAAAGCAGTCTGAATTCAGCTTTCAGTGTGTACCTCTTATTTCAGTAAAAAATACATCAGGTGGAGTACAAAATATTACAAAAACATGTCACTTTCTTCCATTTTTAAACAGCTGACGTACAGATCATTCGGATGTTTCTGTGCTCATATTTCCTACTGTCCCTCAATATGATGGTGGTATTTTTGTTTATTAACTACTGACAATAATACCGAGCTATTTTTGGAAACTGTCAAAA